AGTTTGAAAGATTATTCTTTTGGAATGGGAACATGAGAATCTTAACTCATACTAATGCCCATAAATCATATTCTCAAGCAAAGAATTTGGTCGGAAAGCCACCAAAAATGGATTCTCATTCCCCACCAACATATCCTTTTAGATAATCTAATAAGATGCCTTTTACCATTCATCATCATCGTTATCATCATCTCCTTAATATCATTGCTTTCATTTTCATGGATTTACCATCTTTGGTGGTTGTTCTACTAAGAGCTCCTCTTCAAAGTAAAGTTAATAATAATTAAAAGAAAGTATATTTATTCTTTGGTGTACTCCATAGAAATAATAAAGAGATTTTTATAAATAGAATAAAAATTAATTATATAAAAAAATATAAAAACACTATTTTTTTATCTTAAACTTTAATATATTAGATTATTGATTTTTTTTAATTATAAATTACTTAGCTTTCCTTTTCTACTCAATATAAAATTTCAAACTCATATTTAGATTCTTAATAATTAGATCATATGCAATGACCTCCACTTAAAACTCCACTAAAATTTTATAAATAATTAAATTCCAAAATATACACTATTAATTAGTAAATAAACATTTATTGTATCACCTAACTTCAACATTAAAGTGTCTTTATGCAGCTATTCTTGTTACTAAATAAGTATGTGTTTGGTAAAAAGAGTATTTGACCTCAAGATAACAAAAGGAAAAGAAGTAACAAAAAAAAAATTTGTAGTATTCAAACCTTCCATGAAAAAGTGTTTATGTTTTAATTTTATAAATAGATTATATTTTTTTCTCTTTTACCATTTTTTGAATTAATTTTGTATATAATACATTTAAAACAATTAATTAGAAATTTTTTATTAATTTATTTACTTAAGTACACTTATTTATTTTTCATATGTAATTTTTCTTCTCTTTTCTCATGGTTTGTTTTTATTTTTTCTCTCTTCTTATTTATTTTTATTTTTCTCTTTTCTATCTCACCTCTCTCATTCTTTTTCTCTCCCATCTCACTTATTATTTTAATTAAAACTACTATATTGAAATTTAATAAAAACATGTTAAAGTAAATTTTTTAAATCCAACATTAAAACTAAAAAAATATCAATTATTATAATATTAAATAATTTTATTTAGGGTAGCGAAATAATTGATTTATTTTTTTATCATAATAAATCAATTAATTATCTAATTAAAAAATATAAAATATTTATGTGTTAAATATATTTTTTATTTAGTAATTTAATATAATTATGATTAGGTTGAATTAAGATGATTAGTCATAAAGTAATTTAAAAAATATATTTATTAAAAATTACTTTAAAATAAATATACTTTTTAATAATTATAACATAATAATAATATTTATAATATCTCAAATTTATCATATAATATTTTTTAAATATTATATATTAAATTATAATATTTCTGAATAATTTAAATATTTCATTTTTAAAATAATAAAATATTCATTTTATTAAATTTTAATATAGTATTTTTAATTAAAAGAATAAGATGGAGTGAGAGAAAAATAAAAAGGGAGAAAAAAATATTGAACTAAGGATAAAAAGAATAAGAAAGAGAACATAAATAAATAAAGAAAAAATATAATTATATTATATTAGACAAATTTATTTCTCATTATTCAATTTTGTATAGAAATAATAAACAAATACAATAAAAAAACTTAAATTCTATTTAATTAACTCTTATTTTAAAATATATTTATTACATTGATTTTAAATATATGACTTAAGATTTCGAACTTTAATATTAAATAGGAGATATGTATCATATTCTCACAATAAATATTTTACTAAACATTTATAAACGACCTAGTTGTTGGAGTAGATAAGTTATATTCACTTAGAAAATTAATTTTAAGTTTAATTATAAATTTCATAAAATAAGATTATAAATAGGGTAATAGCTTTTTATAATGTAGTGTAATTATGTATTAATCCATTCAGAATTTTCAAGTATGAACTCGTTTTTTTATACATATGCTCCAACTTATGTTCTAATTCAATTATTAAAGTTTATATATATATATATATATATATATATATATATATACATTTTTTTTGTTGAATCTATTTATATTATGTGAAGATTTCTTAATTAAGGTAAAATAATATTATCTACTCTTTTAGTCAGTAGAAAACGAAAGAATCCCAAATATAATGAAAACATTATTTTAATCTTTAATATTTATTAATTACTAATTAAAGAATTCTTCTTAGGCATTAAAAAAATTAACTCAAATATACCATTTTTTTTTCAATAAAAAATAATTGTACGTCACGAGTTTCACAACAACTTGAACACGTTATTCAATGAATGAACTAAATTTCCTTATCAACTCAGAATATGAAGTTAAAGAATAATTTGCAAAAGGTATTAAAGGAACAAGTTTATGATGCAAAAAAATAAAAATAAATAAATAAATAATAAAAACCCCGTGGTGGTGATATAAAATGCGTATTTCAATTAGATATTCACGTATCACAAATATTTTAATTATTCGTTTTTTAATGGATACAGTGATATTTATTAACTGTTAATTTTTTTTATTTTTTAGAAAAAAATTTTAAATAAAATATCCAAAAAATATTAATTATTGATGAATTATTTATAAATTTATATTTTTTTATCTAAATTTATAAAATTAAAATTATTTTAAAATATTAATATTATTTATATTTATATTTTACATTAAAACTTGTTTGAATTAATATTTTTATGAATACTTGTTTTTTATACTAATGTTTTGTGATGAAAATTGATTTAAATTATACTTAAAGGTATACAAATTTATTAAAAAATATATTTTAAAGAATAATTTTTAAAGAAATTTCTTTAAAGTTAAATAAAATAAAACTATTTGTGGATTTTAAAAAAATTGTAATTTTTTTTAAATCGATTCTCAATGGACCTAAATGTCTTGAAATCTATTAGAACGAAAACATTATTGAATACTGTAAAAAGTGAGGGGTCCATGTATAAAAATACTTTAATGTCAAATTATGTTAAACTATAATAATTAAATCAATATAATAAAATTAAAAAAATATATTAAAGTATTTACAAAATAATAGATTAATTTTATATTTACAATTCTTATCAATATATTTTAAATAATCATTTATACTTATTTAAGGTTAATTCTTTTTTTATTAATGTAATATTATATTTAAATATATTAATTATGTATTATTATCGTAATATGTATCAAAATAGTTATATGAAAAATATTTTTATTGAATGCAAAGGTAGAAAGAAAAGAATAAGAGAAAGAATAATTATTTTTAATTTGTTTAAGATTTTTTTTATTAAAAAAAATCAATTATAATTTGTTTAAGTATAATATTACACACTAAATCTATATTTTTTTTAAGGTGATAAACCACTAATACGAGTTGCTTATATTTAACATGTTCTTAAGTAATATTAAAAATTTTCGTTAAACTTCTGAAAAGAATGCAATCTAAACTTAGAAAGAAAAATTAAAGTTAACATTTACATAATTACAAACTATTTTCATGTGACTTTTTAAGATAATTTTAATTTATAAAAAAAATGTCTTTTCTTATAAAGATGCGTATAAAATTTCGTTCAAATAAGTTATTAGAATATATTTCAATAGCCATTTAAATTATTTTTAAAAATTAAACATATTTTTGAAAAAAATATTTGGTATCTTTTAATGTGAAATTAAGAGTTAACAATAATTAAATCATCTTATTGGTATTGTTTGTGATTACTTAATACTTATTTAAAAAATAAGTATATTTTTTTTATTTGTCTAATTTATATTGATATTGAAATTAAGCATTTTTTGTTCTTTATTTTAATAAGGAAATCTCTCTCTCTCTCTCTCTCTCTCTCTCTCTCTCTATATATATATATATATATATATATATATATTTTTTTTTTTTAAAAGAACTAATTATTTTAAATTTTTTATTTTAAATTTAAATAAACTATATAATATCTTATTTCAAGTTAACATTTTAGGGTAACTTAGAATATCACTTAAGAAGACATTTTTGGAGGATTAAAAGCTACCATCCATGGAATGTTATAATCTTTTACCGATTTCTTGATCTCTTTCAATTTATTATATTTAATATTTTCAATTTTAACTTAATTGACATGTTCAAAATATTAATTTACAACAAATTTAATTATATAAATATAAACATTGTAATACTAAGATACTAATATACACATACAAATATTATTTCAGCTTATGCAATGCACATATTTTTTTATAATTAATTAATAAATAAATAATTTAAAAAATATAAATTATATTTTAATTAAAATACATAACAAATAAATATTTTTAATACATAAATTATATTTTTAGATTAGTGATAAACGATTTAAATTATGATACAATATTACCTTTAAGTATTAATGATTTCTATTAAAACAAAGACATTCAATTGTTTTTTAAGATGAAAATGATAAATTTAAATAATACTAACAAGTATTTTTATATATTTTAGAAGCTATTTCACAACGATAAGTATAATATTTTATATACTTTTCTTTTAATAATATTTTTAAACTTTTCTTGCTAACAATAAGTAATTATGTTATCTAACAAAGTTTTACATTTCATATACGGTTATATGTATTAATTTTTAATTAAAATATAAAAAAAGTTAATTAACGTATTTTAAAACATCAGTGATTTTTTTAAAAGATTGATTTTATTCTTAACATTTAATAAAAATACTATGTATGCACTTATCTTGAATATAAGCACATCCAAATGTAATGATAAGGATTTCTTAATTTTAAATCTGTAAGAATTTTTATATAATATAACCCTAAATCCAATCATTGTTTTAATTTAATTTTACAAACTATAAATAATGATTAGCTAGGTCGATTCCAATTGGAGAAAAGCCACTGCGTTTCTACTCCATGGTTTCTTCACTGACAACGAAACCGAACCATCGAGGTGACAAAAGCAGAAGAATATGGCAGGCACAAACCTCGGTCACGGTTCCAATAAAAACATTCGATGTCATCACTGTGCAGGACCTCTTTCTAAGAACATGGTTTTTCCCAATTCCAAATTTCAACACCTTGCCTCAATTCATTTGTTTTTTTAATTTTTTTGTTTTTGAATTCGATGTAATTTTTTTCTAACTCTGTGCAGGAAACCAGTAACTGGACCGTTCCGCCACTTGTGCGGGACAGTTTTTCTATGGTCGGTTCTTCCCACCCCAGTTCCTTCTTATCCTCAAAATTCAAACTTTTTTGCGCGCTTTGATGTTTATTGATGAGTTTTGGATCTAATCTGGTGATGTGCAATGGAATTTTTGGATTTTTTTTATAAGGGTTTCTGAGGTCATGATCTTTAATTTATGCAGATTGGTTCTGCCGTTGGTGGCACCACAAGTGCATTTTATGGATTCAACCATGGTAGGTATTTTTTTTTTATCTTGCTTATGTATTTATATTGTGTTTGAGTTCAATGTGGTAGCTTGCTATTCTGTTCTAAAGGGTAATTCATGTTGGGGAAACAAGTCTTCACATACAATGAAAATGAGGATCAAAGAATGTAAAACACTTAACCATAGAAATAGCAGACGAACCAAAACTTAATGTGGTTCGTCATCTCTGCCGTCTCAATTAATATTCATTATCTTAAAATAAGATTACAATTTTTATGGACAAACTTGAGAAACCCTCCCTTCATAGGACTCTCTCTTACTTCTACTGTAATCTCCTCTTTAGGGTGGGTTGACTTTGTTATCATCTCAAAATTTAGGTTTAGATCTGTTAGACTATCTGTTATTAAATCATTATTAGACCATCCTTACATGTCAGAGTTTAGGCTCGAACTCAAATTCTAAGATTTCATGTTTGGAAAATGGAAAAATGGGCATGTATCATGCACAGAATTTTCTATGATTAATTTATTTAATGCTCCACTTTCACGAGGAAACTAAATCTTCGTTAGAAGGATGTAACATAGCTCATTGCTTTTGTTTGCTAAAAAACTTTAAATACTGTGATGAAAACAAATTTGGTTCAATTCATTTAAACTTGAGTTGGAAGATTTAGGGCATGTAGTAATAAGATGAATGAGATTTGCACAAGTTTTCTCTATTTGTAAACTGTAATTGATGACATAGTTCATGTTCCAAACCGAAGACTGAAGCTTTAATGTTTAATATTAACACAGTCTATTATTCAAAGAGTTTCCCTTTTTCCGTTTGTATTGCAGTTATGCCTGTTGTTCGGAGATGCGTAAAAGGACCCATGTGGGTGCATTTTCTCATTGGTGTAAGTTTCTTGTGCCTTTTGAATCATTCTTTTTCTTTTCATTCAGTTTTATTTTGTTTCTGCAGTTTCCCGCTTGATTATTTTATTTACTATTGACTTCTTGCTCATTTATACTTTTCCTCATGTATATTTTTTTTGGAGGATGCATTTTTTACTAGTTTTAAATTGTTACATTAATCATCCTAAACAGCTTGTAGTATTCTGTTGTAACATTTAAGTTTTTGTGATTTAGGAGATTTACTTCTGTGAATAAAATCTCGGAGATATTTTTTACTTAATATTCAGAACTTCTTTCTTGTTTTCCATTAAATCAATGGAAAAAATTGATGCCATCTTTTTGCTTGCAAATGAATGTGTGTCTTTGAGCGTGCAACTGCAAAAGAAGACCATTTAGCAGCACTCTTCAACAACCATCATTTTTGTTGGATCAGGCCTGTTTTGATGAATAATTCATTGATTGACCTCCCTGTAAACTATTCATGTTTTTTCACAACCTGTCAAATTGTGAATTAAGTCCCTCTTTAAATATAGCCTTCTGCTCCACTTAACTTGGTTTAATTTTGTAATACGTACATGAAGTTGCTGTCCTTATATATTTTGTATTGCAGATTGGACTTTAGGAATGCAGTCTCTTCTATACATTTTTTTTTTTAAATTATTTTATATGAACTTGTTCATGTTGGGTTATATGGGACATCCTTTGCACATTTGAGTATCTAAAATTGAGTCCATAGTATTCAAGCAATGTAGAGCTTTCTCTCATACTATGCCAGCAGAAACACTCTTTGGCCTACTTTTTCTACCTTCTAAGTTCAGTGAAAACTTTTTTGTTTTGTTAACAGCATACTGACTGAAACTGTTATCTGATTTTCAGACACCGCCTGTGATAGTATTCTCTTCAACCTGTGCAGGACTGGCAGGTGAATTTCTGATTGTGTTATTACTTTGCCTGGCTTATATACTACTATATGTATGATTGTAATATTGTACATCGTCTTTAATTTAAGCATGAGCAATGCTTAACTGGCTTACGTGGTAGGGTAAAAACTTTCACACACATGCACCCACAGACATACAATAGAGTTTTTCTAAAATTTATCGTTTACAACAATGTGGACTGTTCAAAAGTTAAAATTTCATGATCAAGTAGTGTTCTTATCCTAATGATGCTTTCTGTGCTTGATAAGTGACAACCTTTCCATTATTTTTATCCATGTGATGTATATATACTGTGTATCTGAGTTGATAACAATGTGATTGTAATAACTGTAGGTGGGGCTGTTCCTGCTATTGCACAACTTGTTTCCTCATCTTACCATGCTGCATTATCATCTCCTCCTTCAGAGGATGATGAGATTCAGAAGTCAAGAACTTCCTCTACCCTCTAAAATTTACACACATTCATAACACAATAGTTTTCTTCTACTATAATCAGCATTCGTGCCACGATTTGCTGAGAGTTTTGTTTTTCTCCTGTAAATGATGCTTTTCAGATCTAGTGTTCACAATGTAAATTCAGCTCTCATAAACTGGTTCCACAGAGATATCTCACCCATGATTTTATCGTTTGGTTTATTATCATTTGGTTCCCGCGGAATTTCCTCATGAAAAATGAAAGTACTTATATATAGAGAGAGAGATTGAATGAAACACCTATAAGGATTAAATGAATAATGTATCCATAAACTTATGTCATTAATAGTTTAATAATGTCAACATTTAGTTTATTATAATAATAAAAAATTTAAAAGTAATAATTAATAATTAATTAAATTAAATTTTATCTGACTTTTCACTTGTTTTCACTTTCCACCAGTTTTCATTTTCTCTCTTCTTTTCTTTTCCACACTCATTTTCCACCATTTCAACCGAACAAAGCATTGAAATTGCAACGTGAACCAGAACTTTATCAACAATGATAAAATGAAAAAAAGGACTCTGAACCATTAGTGAAAAAACAATAACTGTTAATATTAATGTCAGTTCCTCCATGACAAAGTTAAGCACAAAAGCAACACCCAGAAAAAGAACGCTACTAAAAATCAACCAGGTGACTTAAGACCTGTTTGTCTTACATTAGAAATCAATTCTTCACATTATACACACATTTTAAGTAAATTTGGTAACTGGAATTAATTTTGTTTGGCACATCTTAATTAATATTTAAAGATTCAAATCAGTTATAATAAACTTCAAAACAAAAAATAGATACTTAATCCTCCTTAGAAATGTCATTTCACTCATCTTTTCCCAGGGTAACGTGTGCCACCAGGAAGCCTCTTTCAAAATGTGATGCCATGGAGTTGAGAAAAGTTAAATAAAGGATACATTGTCTGCACAAACGTCCTTGTAAAAGAATTCAAGGAAGGGATACCCTTACATCATGCTGTGTAGACTTCACTTTCCAAAAGGTAATTCATTGATTCAAGGAATGGATACCCTTAAATCATACCTTGCATTATAACCAATTTGGTTTTGTGCTTCTGATGTTGGTGACTTACTCTCTTTTAACATTGTGATATATAAGGCGAACAAAGAGAAATGAAACTCTGAAACTGATGGCACCAAATATTAGGAAGAAAGCATAGCACAGGCTTGCATTATAGCCAATAAAGAAGGATAGCTGCAAGAATCCACTCATATTTGATCTCACATAGAAGTATATACAATACCCAAACATGAAAATGGCTGTTGAGCCACCACACAGCACTGATCTGCACCCACAAAAAAACAACATTAGTGATAAAGCCTCATACTAAATGGTGCCTAATGTTCATACATTTTTTACCTTCCCAAATTTCTTGTGAAAACAGCATACAGGATGTGAACATTGTAACTTTTCAAGCTTTTTAACCAAATTTTAATATGAAGCAAACCATTTCAAATTTTTTTCAATAAAAGAAAATAAGTGTTAATGAAAAGGAGATAAGAAAGTACACTAGGGGTGAGGATAAGGTATTGTTAAGACTTGAATTGAAAGGAAAATGCAAATCAAAACAGCAGTAAACAAGGAATGCAACAATGCAGCCAACTTTTTTTTTTTTTTTTCATTTGAAGCCTTTGAAACAATTAAATGTATTTGAATTGATTATAACACAAACATTTCCCGATGGTCTTTTTCCTAGTAGTGATGGATACCATGTCATCAAATCCTATCATCTCCTATGTACAAGATTTGATATTAAAAATAATTGTTCCCATCAAGAAATGGATAATAGTTGTGAAATCAGAGTTAATCTTAAACAATGAGGACCGATTTTGTATGCATTATTCATTATTTATTGATAGGTGCTTTTTTTAACTATAGGTTTTTAAAATTAATTACATCTATACTCAATCATCACCACATTGATTTTCTCTTCGGATGTCATGGTTATCAAGCATCAAATATTGGTCCAGGCAACACAAAAGAGGGGATGAGTGTAAATGAGAAAAAAAATTAAATGGAAGCAAGCTGCAAGCATTAATCTCAGCAACACAACATACCTCCACCACCATTCATGGTCTTCCACAGATAGTTGAATGTATGTCAAGCCAATACTGACAAGTGAAACAATCACAATGACAGAAATGAATGTGGCAAATAAATTGCTCGGAAGAGTGTATATTTTGTAGCCCCACATACTAGCATACACCTGGTGTAGTTGCAGGACAATTGCACTAAAAGGCACAAGACCCCCAATAAACATTAGAAATGGTGTTCTCCTGTACCAAGCAAGCTGTTGAATGTCTGTTGGGTGTCTCTTCGTAGCCGAGGGGCTTTGGAATTTGGATCTAAAACGATATCCAATCACTCCACCAAATGCAAGCAATGGGATGCCGAGAAATTTGAATAAAACAAGAATCACAATAATGGAGCCAAATGGGAGTCCAATTGTAGCCCTGTAAGAGATTGCAACAATGTTGAGGACAGAGGCTACAACAAACACTGGTCCAGTGTAAAGAATCCCTGCAAGACCAACAGTCCTTTCCTGGAATTACACCCAAATCACATAATTGGTTTAGTTAGTTAAAAGTAACATTAAAATTGAACTGTTTAACATATTTTTTTTCTTTCTTGTGAAATTGCATATAGAATTACCCATCCATTCTCAGCAAACTGGCCATGGAAGGAGGCTGCAGTGTAGCCAGAAAATACAGAAAAAAGAGCATACAACAAGACGAGCCAATTTAACAGTCCTCCACGATTGTAGGGATAGAGGATGCCAATAAGTGCGAGAAACAGCAAGACACAAAGCCTGAAGGAAAAGGAACATTATTTTATGTCAAAAGAAGAACAAAGTTAAAAGAGAACTAGTAGTAATTATTTTTTTCCACCATTACACACATGAATAGAAATAATGATTAATAACGACATGGTTGTATGATAAGCTGGATACCAAACAACAATCACTTTCAGGAACTCGGGAACTAATTTTGACATGCAATCTGTGTGTGTATATGGGCAGAGATCTAAAGTGAGAAAGAACAAACACAGCCTATTCATGGTAGATTTTTTTTTTTTTTTTTTTTTTTTTAATTATGAGTTGCAATTATTAAAAGAAACCATGTCCATTGCTAAGATGTATTTATTTCGTAGATAGGTTACTTGCATAAGGGTACGAAAAGAAAACTATGAATGAAAGGTTACATAGGTAATGCTCCCTCCACCAGTGAATTTATTGACTTCATAACACAATAAATAAACAAAGTCTTCCTCGGCTTAGTTTAAAGATTTTATGCAAAGAATCAGGAGGAAGTGCAATCCATACCATACACGAGATCAAACCAAGAAAAGCAGAAATCAAGTAGAAGGAGAATACTTTTGGTCTTTGCTATCACTTGATATTCTAGATTCAGATTGCTAAAGGATTTGAATAAAATCTTAGGTTGGTTGATGCATAGATGAAACTATACATCACACACCTTCATATGTTATATTGCCATGTAAAGGCTAGAGGTTGAATACATGGCTTAGGCAGAGTATGAGGGAATATGTAATTTTGATAACAAAAGTAGCTTACAAGATTAGCAATTGGGTACCAGTTCCCACAACAGCAAAAAGTAAGGATGAGTTTGGAGGAGGCCTGAATACGTCACCATGGAGAGACTTCCAACCAACCTCTTTATCTTCTTCATTTGCATTAGAGTACCTAAAGTGTAAATGACAAACTGTTAGGTTGGGCTAAGAAATAAAGACAGCCTGCTCATATTCTGCTCTTGTAGAATTTTGAACAAAGAAGAAAGTTACTTTTTCAAATCAATCCTCAGATGTCGCATGTACAGCAGGGCAAGCAAACCAGTCAAAAGCAAAATGATGACAATCGAGTTGATGAATGAGAACCAATGAACTTGCTGATGCACAGGCATCAACGAAGCTCTTGAGTATCTATCCATCCTGTTCTCAAAAGGTGTTTTAGTGGCATTCCAGGTAACAGAATAAGTGAACTTAACATCAAGATCAACATCCTTAGTAATATCTACAGCGCGATTTGGATCGCCAAATGCATTTACTTGTATGATTTGATTCCCATTGTAATGAACATCAAATTGAACATGTGTAAAAAGGTAGTAGTTTGGTCCTCCTCCACCAGGAGTCAACCCATCCTCCTCAAGTTTCCCAATGAACCCCCAGAATGGAAGATCATCCAGGTAAAATTGAAAGTAAAATTCTCTGTTTATAGCTCGCCTAAAGAACGCAATTTGATCAATTGTAAGCTTCTTTGAGCACAAGGTCTCATCAATCTTTTCCTTCCGGAACTTGAACTCATACAAAGCATTGCTCAAACGGTCACCATTGAGAACTTCCCCCAGGGACTCTTTCTTTTCTACAATTGGGTCTGTGAAAAACACAACCTTTTTTACAATCCAGTGGTTACAAATTCCAAACCAACGATCATTTAATCCCATTTTTCAACACCATGAGATTCAACATTCAAACCTTAAACCTAAGACCAAGAGTGACTAACCTGGGGCGCAGAATGGCAAATCATAGTATTCATACGTCTCACTGCCACAGAGGAATTGTGTAAACAGAAATTCAATGAACGCAAACATGAAAAAGTAATGATAGAAAGAATGAAACCTGGGGTTGTTGAAGGGCCCGACTTTGTTGACAAACAATGGGACAAGTTCTCCAACATCGTAGAGGTGATCGGAGGGTGAAGATAAAGATAATTGTAGAGTGGCGCAGAGAAGAAGAAGGAAAATGAGATGGTGGGGTTTAGCCATAGATGCAGGTGGTGAAGAAGCTGAAGCCAGATGCAGAGTCAAATCCATACATTATACAAACACATGACACACAAGTTGTCAACACAAACAGTTTACATCATCGTAAGACCAAAACAAAATTAATGAAAAAAATACGACAACAATTAACTTAATTTTAGATTAAAAGAGTTTAATTTAATTTAATTTAATTCGATCCTGAGCTAAGAGTGCCAGTAAAATTTTAGTCAGTTATAAAAAAAAAACTAATTTGACATTAATTAAAGTAAATTTTTGAAAAATTAATTAAAAAATTTATATTTAAAGAAGAAAGTCACATACTCACATTCTTCAATATTGTCGGGAATTTAATCAATATCACAAATCACTTAATAATTTTTTCTTTAAAAGAACTGATAAATTTTAATCAATATAAAATACGAAACAAGCTCTTTTTTTGAATCACAAACACTGAAAAAAAAAACTGCTTGGAAGTGGGAACCAAGACTGTCATATGATGTAATCTATGCATTGGGATTCAAACAATAAAAAAAAGGTTTCTTTCAAAATATAATTACATTATTTTTTGAAAATTAAACATAAAGTGAAAAATATGTATTAAAAATAATAAAATAATTTGCAACACAGTCAAATCACACCTAATTAACTCAACAATAATTAAAAAATAAAACTTTAAGAGCTGTATTAGTTGCATGTAATTTTCAACTTTGTAATTAGTGTAGACATAAATAAATAAGGTAATGATGCCTAATGATTTATATAATAAATCTAATTTAATTTTTCAGGTTTATAAATTCTATAAAAATAAATACAGTTACCAGAACAGAACAACTCTAGTATGTGTGTAACTGAAACGCCTAGGAATAAAATCTTGGCAAATCCTAAATCAAACTAAAAAATAACCAACTTTGGTTTGGTTTCACACTTAGAGATTTCACGACTCATTCTCTTGTTCTCTCTTTTTCCATAACCCAATCACTATAAACAATAATCCTCTGTCGTTATTCCTTATTTTATAGGTAAAAAACCAATTTCTCTATCTTCTTATCCTTATGCTTTCATGCTCCTTTTACAATCAATTATTGTTATTACTGTTATTGTTGTTGATGATGATGATGGTGTTTTTTTAAATTCTGATCCTAAATTCTATTCCCCGATACCATTTTAGGTGCTTGATTAAATCTTAAATCTTAATTACTTTCCTTAAATGTCGTGATTTCTGTGTAAATTGATCCAGCGAGAAGAGAAATTGTTGAGCATTTTTCATCTGGTGAAATCCATTCAAGATTCTGGCGTGATTTCTGAGGTTTCTTCCAAAATTGCTCTTGAATTGAATTGAAGGATTTAAAACGAGTGTTGTTTTGTTTTTTTGGTTTGGTTTTTTGTTTTGGTGTTGATTGTTTGTTGTCAACACAATACACAAGACAAAGGTTGTTTGATAGATATAGCGTTGTGAGGGGTTTGCTAGTTGGGAATTGCAGCATCATGGACCAGCTTCCTGTTGAAGTGATTGGGAACATTCTGTCTCGCTTGAGGGCTGCACGAGATGTGGTGATAGCCTCTGCAACATGCAGGAAATGGCGAATAGCGTGCTGCAAGCACCTTCATACCCTCTCCTTCAGCTCCAAAGATTGGCCCATTTATCGAGATTTGACGACTACCCGCCTTGAGATTTTGATCACACAAACCATTTTTCAGACCTCAGCGTTGCAGGCTCTCTCCATTTTGATGGAAGATGTGGATGAATTCTCGGCTTCAACGGTTACTGCTTGGCTCTTGTACACCAGGGAAACTTTGAGGCAATTGCATTATAATGTCAAGACTATGCCTAATGTTAACATTCTTGAAATATGTGGCAGGCACAAGCTGGAAATACTAGATCTGGCTCATAATTCCATTGTGGGGGTTGAGCCTAATTATCAGCGATTCCCTTGTTTGAAGTCTCTTTCCCTCAGCTATGTCAGTATATCTGCATTGGATCTGAATCTTTTGGTATCTGCGTGTCCCAGGATTGAAGGTTTGGAGCTTGTCAATCCTGAGATTGCAATGTCTGATGCACAGGTGACTGTTGAATTGAGTAGTTCAACGCTGAAGAGTGTGTATGTAGAAGCAATCAGTTTGGACAAGTTTATTTTAGAGGCTGATGGGCTTGAGACCTTGCACTTAAAAGATTGTGCACTTGAGATTTTTGAACTCGTTGGCAAGGGGACCTTGAAGAATTTTAAGATTGATGATGTTAGTGTTATACATCTTGATATTGGTGACACAATTGAGGATCTTGAAACTGTGGATATTAGCAACTTCACAATTATATGGCCAAAGTTTTACCAGATGATTTCAAGATCATCAAATTTAAAGAGGCTTCGACTTTGGGATGTGATGTTTGACGACGAGGATGAGGTGGTGGATTTGGAAACAATTGCAACTTGCTTTCCTTACCTGAGCCATTTATCTCTGAGTTATGATGTGAGAGATGGAGTCCTTCACTATAGTTTACAAGGCTCTTCCTATCTTGAGAATGTGGCTGTCTTGGAGCTTGGCTGGACTGTGATCAATGATCTTTTCTCCCACTGGGTTGAGGGTCTGCTTAAGCGATGCCCCAATCTCAAGAAGTTGGTCATTCATGGGGTTGTTTCTGAGGCTAAGTCTCATGAAGAATGCCAGATGTTAGCCAGTTTCACCACATCCATGGTTGAGATGATGAGGAGATACACACATGTAGATCCACATTTTAAGTATGAATAGGATTTTGTTAAATATCTTGCTTTAGCTCATGCTTTCCATTAAGTCTAATTGTGTTGGCACAGTTGCAGGTAACTCATTGAATTCAAAAGTTTATGCCAACTTTTTTAACTTTTTGTTTGGAATCTTCGTCTGAAATTTGTGTGACTGACCAACAATGATAGCTCATGACAGACATTCAAAACTTTGATCACTTTTAGTAAACAGAATGGCCATGAACTAATCTGGAAATTTACACTCTCGTTTGTGTTCTGGGAATTTTATTCTTCTAATCAAGACTGTAAGAATAAAGCATGAAGTAATTGTAATGGATTAATTTTTGAGGGAAGAAGGTTGTTATGATGAGTGGCGGAATTCCACTGGCCTTCAAAGATATACCATGGAAAAGTATTTTGCTTAGGAGTTTCACATTTGTTTGTTTCGCTTCTATTGAGATCTATTTTAAGACGTGAATTCATCAAACTATGCATATTTGGATAACCCATAATGGCACAAACTTAGTCTTGCCTTCTCAAAATATACAGTGGCATACTATTGGGAGGTATCAATCATGCTCAAGCCTTGACCTGTATTTTGACACTTAGATGGCCCTGCTCATCTCACATTTTATCGTTCTGTATGTCTCCCTGGTGAGGGATGCAATGGATTTCAGTTCTTGACTCTTGAGAGGTGCAAGTTTATTCTTTTATTTGCTGGACATGTTATGGTTATCTTTCCTTCTCACGTGCCTTGTACTTTTCTTGTAGCCTCATATCATGGCCATTGATATGGTGGGGCTGTTAATGCAGCTTCTAAGTTAAGCCAGGGTAGCAAAGCCTTCATATGGTGATAAATTTTTGTGATGCTGATGAACTTAAGATTTCTGGTCATTGATTCTAAAGCCGAGACTTCAACTGACTTTTCAGTAGTGTGATTCTCTAAAATTTATTCATTGGTCACATGTGGAAAAGCAATTTTCTCACATATATCTATATATACATATATGCTGCAATTAAGAACTTGTTTATTACTGTGACATATTCTTTCTGTCTATGCTCTTGTTCTTCCATTTTTATGTCTATTGGTTTTATGCATGCACTTGTCTGCAAATCCTGAGATAGCAATTAGTGACTATAATCATTCATACCTAGCAAACACATGTTAGAGATTGTGTTTGGCCTGATTTACACAGAGAAGAGAGATGGATAAACCTTTACTGATATGGCAACTACTCAACTAGATGATGAATTGGCGTCAAATAGTGTTGAAGTAGTGATAACATGAAACTTTAAAACATATATTTTCATGTAGATTGTCAGAGTAAGAAGTGTTTCTCCTTTTCAAATACTACCTGGATTAAAAAATTTAGATTCACTTTTCCATTTCAAGTGCTTCCAATGTTTGAGGGAAAGGAGAAATTGTGCTTGGTGCCATTTCACTCCTATACCCTCAAAGTTGAACAAAAAACCATATTAACTCCATCGTCATTTTCTTCAACCAAACATTATGTTAAACTTTGCAAGTCATTGAAAATAATGTCTTTATTTTTACACCCCCCTTATTTTCTCTTCACACCCTTCATAGTTTTATATTTAATTTTACAAAAATACCCTTCTCGGAAACTAATTTCTAGAAGGTGTACATTTTTTAAAAATTTGAAGATGCCCAATAAATTAATTTTCGAAATGCATTCCAAGAACTAATGTTTGGAAGTTAGGGTTTAAAACTGAACAAACGCAAAAAATAAAATTGAAATTCGTTAAAAAAATAAATTAAAATAAAATATTTTTGGATTTTTTGAATTAAAATTTTTTAAAACTGATGGATTCATTTTTGATTTGATAACAATTTAACCGAAGTGAAATTATAATATATATTATTAAAATAACACTCAGTAAATAATTATCTTATAAATAAATTAAAACTATAAATATTACAATTAATTATGATTAGTGATCTTATAATATATTTCTTTATTTAAAAATTATTTTAATATAATATGTAACAAGACTATAAAATAAAAATCGTACAAATTAGATAATAAAATATTAATTTGATTTGATTAGAATGTTTTTTTTTTAAGAAATGGGTTAAAGAGTCCCTCTTTATTCATATTCTAACTTAAACAAAGTATCTTCTTCGTCAACTCCATCGATTATGTTTATTTTATATCCTTAAACAGATCGACTCTGTTTATTTCACCTTCAGTGAAATAAATCTTAGTTTAAATAAATTACTATTTTATATTTTGTTGATCCATTTATATTATTGTCATTTTGATAAGAATAAATCCAAATCAAATATTTTTAAATTTTTTGGATTAAAAATGTTTAAAATCGATTGTTTCAATTTAGTTCAATTCTTTAAAAATCAACTCAAACCGAAATAAAATTATAATATATATTATTGAAATTAAAATATTAAATAACACTTAGTAAATCAATTATTTTTGTATAATTTAGAATATGTATTGTTATTATTTAAATTAAATGTAAAAAATATATGAAAATAAATTGAAATTGTAAATATTATAATTAATGATTTTTATAATTTATTTCTTTATTTAATAGTTATTTTATCAAAATTAAATCATAAAATTAAACAAAACAACACTGCAAACCCGAAGTTAATTTTGGAATTTATATATGTCCGAGAAATAAATTGTGACGGTGGAGTGATACATTTTAAAAATAAATAAAATTTTTAAACATACTTAACATTTCTAATATCAAGAAAAATAAAAATTTATTTGACCTGCATTCAACCATAAAGGACATGTTATTAGGACCTTCTTTTTTTCTCTTCCCACTCTAGGTTTTATAAATTTCGTATTCTACCCCTTTCTTCATATCTTTACTATCAGTCTTTTCGATTTTTCTAAAATATAAAATAGTATATTTTTTTAAAAATATTTGAATAAAATTAAAAAATATTTTTTCTGTTAATTTATTGGGAGAAAAAATAATTAAAACAATACTTTTTTTTATAAAATATTAAATAGGTGACAAGAGAAAAGAGAAAAAGAAAAAAGAGTGAGATAAAAGTAAATTTGGGTAAGTATAGCTTATTTCGACCCAGTTATTATTTTTTGAAAAGCAAAATAAAAGTTTACAAAAATCCTCTTCTTAAATATTTTTTCATGGGATTTTCCTCTATCACATTAATCAATGATTAAGATATTGATAACCTAAGAACAAAAGGAAATTTGCATGAATTAATTAAAGTGAATTAAAATAATAATAATAATAATAATTTCAGCATTAATAGTCACTCTTTTTGTAAACATGGTTTAAGTTTTTTTTTTAAATAAAAATTTAATAACTTTTCTTTATTTTAATAAAATAATTATGATATTTTCCGTTCTATCCCTTTTCATTTATACATTAGAATAAATATATATGTATAAACTAATAAAAGGATCAAAACACAACGATTTTTTTTTTTGCAAGATGAAAAATCAAAACTCATTCATTTTACATAAAAAAAAATTAAACACATTTAAACCCAAAAATAAATTGAAGACATAATTTTTATAAAATTAAGAAAATAAGTTATTGAAACTCAAACACGTGAATATTTACAGACATGATGTATAAACAAAATTAAATATTTAATGTAAGAAAACTCTGGTGACTTAATAGTTTTTATTTAACAACAATGACAACAAATTATAAAATAAGGATGAAATATTTCTTCATTTTAAATTTAATATAATCTTAAATTATTTAATTTAAATATAAACACACTTTTAATCTTTGTGAAATGAACTACTCATAATTTTTGTATTTTTTCTTTTCTTTTCCTATCTAGTCAAATATGTAATCATCGTTTTGAATATTTATAAAATAACATAGTTTATGTTTCAGTCCCTTATTTTTTTTTATATTTTTTCTTTAAAAAAAATTGATTTTCATGTTTAATATAAATTTTAAATAGACATATAATATTAATTTCACGAATCTTAACACTTTTAAAATATATAAATATACAGTGGAAGCCACTTGAATTATCAATTACTCATTTTTTTCAACACAAATTTACATAATACTAAAAAGAAATAAGAAAAAATAATAATTGTAAAATGATAAAAAAATCTGAAAGAAATCAAAATCAAAATTCGTTCATTTACATAAAATTATAACATATATTCAATCATATTTTTATCATTGTTATTGTTAGAAAGTTGGAATAGAAAACTTCATTAAAATTTAATAATAATAGATAAAAAAAAACTTCATATTAATAAATTATTGAGTTTTTTTTTTATTTTTTTCTTTCGTTTTAGAAATGTATTTTTTTCAAAAATTATTTTGAAATAAATAAATTTATAAAGGTAGAAAGTTGAGCCCTAATGCAACTTCAAGACAAACGCTTTTTCATAAAAGAAAATAAAGTCCAATTTCATCTAAATTAATTTTTAGTTTTTTATAATTATGATATTATTAAGACATTATTTAAAATGAAGTTAAAAAGTTTTTTTTTTTTTACACCTTTTCTTAATTTAAATGAGAGTTAAATGCATTGGGATTATTGGGGGCATTTGAAAGAGGGTCCATCTTGTGACTACTGCTAATTCCCACACAAGCCATCTCTGTTTGGTCTGAAAAACGGTCACAAACACTTCTCAATGTCAATATGAATGCAAACAGTGACTCTTCCAAAGCCAGAAACAAAAGCAAAAACAAAAAAAGAGAAAGTTATTGGCACAAAGAAACAGCAACAGTGTATATGTTCTTTTAGTTAGTTGCTTAGGCCACAAGTAATAAATGATTTAACATAATAATATGCAGTTCAACACAGTCAACAAATGAATATAATTAATTCTTCTAGAATCAACACCAGTTACCTCTCTCTCTCAAACACTTGCATGTACTGAACATATATGTTGTAAGGTATATTGGGAACAAAGGTGTGTATATATATATATATATATATATATATATATATATATACTTAAAAATATAAATTGACCTAATCCTCTAGAGGTTAGAGAATTTATATTTTCAGCCAAACCACCACCCTTTCAATGACCAATCATAAGGGAATAATTGGTGGAAAGCTAAAAAAGGTATTATTAGATGAGCACGAAGATATATTAATAATAATCTTTGCTTTTACCACTTTATAGGGTTCATCCTTCTTTTTCTGTCTCATCTAAATCAGCACAAGTTTCATGTAAATTTGATCTGGTGAGTCAATCAGGATTCACGATAGATGTGGTTTAATGTCGATCATGGGACTATATTTGAAAGTTGAAAGGTGTGAGAGGAAGAAGCCAAAACATAAAGTACATCTGTGAGGATGGATTTATGATACAGATTAACAGAAAAAATGAAACAAGTTGGAACTGGTTTGATGATTGTCCTGTGTGCCATTTGGTTGTGCAGACACGTATGTGTATGTGAGTGGAAAAGAATATTGAGATGGAATAGTTTTAGGTGATGACAGGGAGTGGATGTTGACCTATGAAGGAAGGGGAAAATACCAAAGAGATCCATGTCATGGATTAAATAGAGAAAGTGGGTGTGGTTGTGGAATATTATTGTAATGGTTTGGTTGAAATGGCATGAGCACAAGTTTAGGGTGTGACGGGTAAAAGAAGAGAGCTTGTTATGGGTTTAAAAAAGAAGTGAAAAGGGTAGAAAGGATGAAGAAAATGGGGTATGGTTTTAGATTTTTGTCTTTTGCCATGTTTGTAAAGAAGAAAGGAAAAGAGAAGAAAAAGTGGTGCAGTGGCAGTGAGATGAAGTGAATGCATGAGTTTTTATGTTAAGAAGTACTTGCAGTTCTGTAGAAGCCCCCACCACACAACCAATAATATTACACAGGCGGTTAGAAGAGAGAGAAAGAAAGAGTAGGTGGCTTGCAGTGTTTTTTTTTTTTTTTTTTTTTTAATTTATTTATTTTTAATTTATTTGATTAGTATTAAAAAAGAAAACAGTTTTTTAATTTTTAAAATTAAAAATTTATTTGATAATTATTTTATTTAAAAATTTTCTAATATTAATTTTTGTTTCAATTTTTATTTTTATTAATATTTATCATTGTCATTAAATTGTCAAAATATTTTTTAACTTTTTGTATTGGTGTTGTTTTTCAATATTTTTAAATTTAAATTATTATTTTTTAATTTATCCTTAAAAATATTTCTTCAAGATTATATTCTAACATCTTTTTAAAAATTAAATTAAACAAACCTTAGTACTATTCTTCCGCAAAATTTATTGTTTTATTTTATAAAGAGAAAAAAAGACAAAATTATAATAATAAAAAAAGAAATAGGTGAAGAATAGAATAAAAGTTTAAATTTCAATGGAAATAAATTTGATTAAAATAAAGAAATAACAAGTGAAGTCAAAGTAGAAATTGTTTGGTAGGGAAAAAATAATATATAAAGTTAGGAATCTTTAGCCTTAAAAAATATTTTATTATTTATTGATATTAAATATTATTAATTATTTTTATTATTAATATTTTTTATTAAAAACAGTTATAAATTAGATGTTCTTGTTGGATGCAATTGTAAAAGATAGTTTTTTTCCATTATAAAATAGTGAATCTACCTTTTTTTTTCTATAACTTTTTATTCATTTCTTTAATATCAAAACCTTCTTTCACTCATTTCTATCTTTTCCCATTTTCGTTTATACCAAACTAAATCTATCTTTTGTGTACAACTAAAAGCTTGAATAAAATGGAAAAAAGTTATCTCAGTTTAAGTGATTTTGAATTTAAACCCTGCATATTCAATGATAGTAAATGCAAGTTATTTATAATAGGACATTGAATAAAAGGTTTCATGTAAAAGTAAAACAACACATTTACTGATATATTTTCAAGTGAAACTATCAATATGCTAAAAAGAATAGATTTTGAATGTTTTCTGATAACATTGGAAGTACTAAGAAGAGTAATTTTGTTAGTTTATGATAATCTTTTGCTCTTGGTCTTTATAAAAATAGTACTGGTTTGTTACTTTTCAAGCAAAATTAGAGTTTTATTTCCTTAACTTATACTATTTTATAATACAATTTTTTATTGCTCATGAAAGTGAAACATCAGTTTGATTAAAGAATAATTCTAACTTCATTGATTATTTTATCACACCCTCAAACTCCACAAGCTTAGAGCAACTGACACAACTCACAAGGTTGTTGAATTGCTAGGACAAAGTTTGTGGTACCACACTATACCACATGATGAGTTACTGAATCTGAAGTATTTACAACTAGGGACAGTGATAAAGCAAGCCAAACACACTTATCAATCAGGTTTCTTCCTACAGAAGGAGAAGAGAAAGAAAGAGACACCCCATGAAAGATAAAATGTTGCAAGGATGAGCATACATGAGAAAAAGACTGGACCCTCTTCCTGTGGCAACTTATATATTACTTTGACAAGAAAGCTTTGATCTTTCTTTACTGTATGAACTTGTCCATATACTAGTCTTTTTGTCCATTGAATTCCAAAGAAAGCAGAGGTAATTAAAAGTCATAGGACTTCTTGGTTTTTATACACCAAGAATTCTCTCTCTCTCTCTATATATATATGTGTGTGTGTGTATATAATATGTATTTATATGGACACATGCGCACCCTTCAAGTTTTATATTCTTCAGATTTGCCTACCAAGTTTTGCTCTTGTGGATTGAGTATCTGCTGAATGAGAGCCTTTCAGTTTCAGCTTCAGAGAAGGTGAGAATGGTCTAAGAAGTAGCTTTGCATGGGGAGCCAAAGAATAGGAGAAACGGGTCTGTCTGAGTCAGGACCTTCAAGTCACCATGTCCCTTATGGAGTTCTTCATGGGATCAATACCTCATCATCAGGACTAATGTATTCTTCAAATGATTTCTCTGTCTCACTGTTATCAATACTAGAGAATTTTCTCAGACATATAATAACTGAATTCCTTACATGGAACTGATATTATATGGTGTTTCTTCATTTTTTATATATTTTTGGCTTGTTTTAATTTCTACTTTTACCCTTTGCTTCTTAGGAATCAAGGGTCTGCTTTTGATTTTGGAGAGCTGGAAGAGGCTATTGTTCTGCAAGGAATTAAGATAAGAAATGATGAAGCCAAAGCATGTATGTTTCATTATTTTTCTTTCCATGGTTCTCCTTTTGATGACGTTAAAGAAGTGGGAGGAAGAAGGAGGTTTGAATATGCCTAAAGTGCTGAGTGGGGGGGAGTTACCATTTCCCTTACCAAAATGATAATAAACTTGGATGGCATAATCTTAGAAACAAGCATGATTTTCTGACTCCATGACTATTGAAAAGGAGGATTAGGTTCCTCCACCTTTTCATATGATTGATGATGCTCTTAAAGCCTTTATTTTTGGTGATCCTCTGAGATTTTCCTTTTGTGATTGTAGCAGCTTTATTCACAGGCAGGCCTTCAGCCACACTGGAAATGTTCCCTTCATGGCCAATGAGATTCCAGCAAACCTCAAGAGTACTACTCTCTCTCACTTCTCCATCTTTGACCAATCCATATCCAAAGATGCTTACAACTAACACAAATTCAACAATATCCCAATCTTTACATTTTTTTTTTCTTTAAAATTTGAGCAGGATCTGGCTCAATTCAAATCTTCGTTTTCAAAAGTCTAAATAATCTTTCACAATTCGCTTTATTAAAGAAATGGATTACTATATAGTTGGTCCTGAACATTTCAATCAAAATTCTCGGTGGATTTACACAGGGGGGTTCAAAGTCAGGAGGCGAAAGCACTGATTCAGGATCAGGAATAAACACTCTTTCAAGCAAAGCTGAGCTCCAATTTGAAACAGATTCTCCCATAAGCATAAAAGCATCTTCTTCAGATCATCAACAGGCTTTTGATCAGCTTCAACAACAACAGGAGACAGCAACTGATGCCTCAAGGGCAGGCACATCACAGAATCAATCAGCAGCCAAATCACCTCAAGAAAAGGTTCTTAAAACAACTATTGTTGCCACTGTTAATCTCTCAGTTTCCCTCTTTCCGTGTCCCCAAAACACTGGGAAAGTTGACCTCTTTAAGGCAATATTATTACTGTGTTGGTTGGTCTTTCTCTCTCCCTCTTTGTGCACATCTTCTCAGCACAGATCCCAACAGGCCTCAGAAAATCAAAGAGACACAGAGTTTCTCTGATTCCTGAACGATTTTCTGATGAATGTCTGACATGAAAGTGAGAGAGAGAGAGGGGGAAAGATGAACGTGACAAACAAAAAAACAAAGTGAGAATCTTTTCAGTACTTATCAATCAATATTTCTCTTTTTAACAGTGACCCACTCGCACTTCACTAGTCCTCCATAAACAAAACTTGTTTCTCCCAATTTAATGCGGTGTTAGAAATCTAATTCTAAACCACACTATACACCAACACAATGGCAGATAAAGATACTTTTTGCTACCCTTATCATGTCGATGATTGCACACCACCACAAGAGAAATTGCCTAATAAAGGGCCTTTTCTTTCAGAAAGGCCTCCCAAAAATTCTGTGAGCAAGTCACATTCTTGTTTTAAAGCATGGCATCATCATGAGCTTTTCTTAACCAATCTCAAAGCTAAGATGAATTTGAGTAATATTGACCAATTTTCTTCATTTCCCCCTGGTTTATTTAGTAACTAGAAATCTACAGTTTTTCTGGTTTTTAAGTCCCTTTCAGCTGAGTAATTTAATTTATTATTCGAGTTTATCTTTTTATGTATTTCTCACCTTTCAAATCTCTTTATTCTTTTTCTTTTGGGGTTCATTTTATTCAGAAGAAAGGAGCTGCTTCCACATCAGAGAAGCCACTTGATGCAAAGGTTTGGAATATGACACCCAGTCACACACACATACACATTTATTTATAGTATTAGTATATATTATATTTCACGGTAGGTTGTTTTTTGGATTTTTCGCATGGAATTTGTATCAAGATATATATATTTTTTTTGGTTTGGATTCAGACACTGAGACGTTTAGCTCAAAACAGAGAAGCTGCAAGGAAAAGCCGTCTCAGGAAAAAGGTGCGTCCCATCAATTGATAAGAACAGAAAATATCATGTTAAAGTAAAAAAAGTTGTAACCTCAGATACATTGTGTAAATGTGCTGTTCCATTGCAATAGGCTTATGTGCAGCAACTAGAGTCAAGTAGATTAAAGCTCACACACCTTGAACAAGACCTTCAAAGAGCTCGCTCTCAGGTTATTTTCTCTCTCATTGCACACAAAATGTTGCATAGTTTTTTAATTATATATTTGACTTCTTCTAATTTTTATTATTTGTGTTGTTAGGGTGTGTTTATGGGTTGTGGTGGTGCTGGTGGCAGTGTAAGTTCTGGTGAGTTTAGCTGTTTCTTTTTTTGGTTTTTTAAATGCAATTTCATTTTCTAATGCTTCAAACGGGAACAAATAGGAAGAGGGTTATAATGTCATAATTTTCTGGCGCATCATATGATTATGCAGCATGGAAAAACTAGTATAATGAGTACCTGAAAGATTTTGTTGGCGTGATCTTTTGACTCCTTTTTACAGTTTGGAAATGGGAACATGAGACAAAGAATTAAGAGATCAGTAGGGAGAAATTGCTCTTATTTATTTACACGTAACTGCTTGTTGCCTTTGATTCTTTTAGAGCCAAAAATAAAAGTCAAATTTGATTTTGAAATGGACTTTCAAAATCTAGAATCAGGTGGACAAGTCTCAGAGTTTGACCAAAATCTGTGGCCTAATTCACATTTGAATTCTTGTGATAAAATATAAAAATATGTATAAAAAACCAGTGAATCATTATTCTAAAAGATCGTACTTTTTAACATATTAAATTGTGATGAAGATAGAAAACTGTGCAACCCTTTCTAACCATGCATATAAGGCCAGCATAACTTTTCTGCAAATTATTGATCCATTATAACTACTTTTTCCACTTTTAGTAAAAGAACATGATGTTCAAATCAAAAAAAGTTTGGAACATAGAATATTAATGTCCTCCTAGATAGTGCACTTAGGGATAATAATTAATCCAATGATTTTCTTTTCTTCAGAAGATGAATTGAATAAAATGTGCTAGGTCTGTTTCATTACAAACCATATTTGCACTGCTCAGCAAGCACCTACATTTAAATTTCAATACCAATATCATATATATGAAAAATAATTTGTTAAAGATATTTCCTCAGTTATTAGTTTCTAACTTTTAACAAGACTATACTCCATACCAGAAAATAGTAGCAACATTATGCAAACAATGTACAGTTAGCAACTATATATATTATTGGTAAGAAAATGGAGGTTTAAAAATTGTGTTGTTGTAGGAGCTGCAATGTTTGACATGGAGTATGCAAGATGGTTAGAAGACGACCACCGACACATGGCGGAGCTCCGGACCGGGCTTCAGGCGGCGCTGTCGGACGGAGAGCTAAGAGTGATTGTGGATGGATATCTGTCTCATTATGATGAGGTTTTCAGGCTGAAGGGGATGGCTGCTAAAACAGATGTGTTTCATCTCATCAATGGCATGTGGACTTCACCAGCTGAGAGATGCTTCCTCTGGATTGGTGGTTTTAGACCGTCAGAACTCATCACAGTATGTGTTATCTATGCACATTTTCTGTCTCTAACATCATCTTCCTCAATCAATGTTATGTTCAATTTAGTTAACTAGTATTTCTGATATTCTTATTGTTTCATAGCTCATGTGATTGAAGAAAGAAATGAATTATTTTGGTCAGATGTTGATACAACAGTTGGAGCCCCTAGCTGAGCAGCAAATAATGGGCATATATGGCCTCCGGCATTCCTCACTGCAAGCAGAAGAGGCTCTCACTCAAGGTCTTGAACAGCTTCAGCAGTCTCTCGTCGACACCATCGCCGCCACCTCCGTCGCCGACGGTGTGCAGCAGATGGTGGCCGCCATGGCCAAACTTGCCAACCTTGAAGGATTTGTTGGTCAGGTAAACTAGTATTACAACATTATATATATATATATATATATATATAACTTTTTCAGAGAAAAGATTCATGATTAAATATATATGATAAATTTGTTGACTTTTATATTAATTATTTTAATTTAATAGATGTAGAGTAGAACTAAAAAAAGAAAAAAAAAAAAAAAAGGGAAGGAGGGTGTAACTTTATAAGCAAAAATGTCATATTTATTTGAATTGATTGATAGATCACATTATCTTATATATAGCTAGGGTTTATATTTTTGCTATATCTTAATGCTAAAGTAATACTTTAATTTTGATGCACTCAATTTGGTGGGGGAGGTTGACGTAAAGGTGGCATCAGTGTCTTCTTCATACATTCATGTCAAAGTTAAATTTGAATTCATACATGACTTATTCATCCATGGATTTCTACCTTGCAAACAGCAATTGGTTTAAGAAACTTGGCGTGTTTGAAATTGGAAGAAGCTACCATTAAATTCTTGCAGGTTAACTTAGTTCAATTGTTTTATTGTTGTTGACTTCAAACATTACTGAGAATATCACATCTTGTTAATTCATGACACGTATAAATTAATTTCAAAATCCAGATTATTTAACAGATAATGATATCTACGAAGTTGTTTTAGCAGTAGTTGATGACATGTTACTTTCTAATCCATTGTGTTTCATATTTCCATGTTTTGCGCCGCAATTCTTCTTTGTCTGTCCCATACAGGAAAATTTAGTCTCTGTCTTAGGTTTCACCTTCTTATCTCTTCATTGATTTAACATGAATTTACTTTTTTCTTTCTTTCTTTCTTTATCTTTTTACATTTTCTTATATATTTGTGTAAAATATACAAAAAACCAAAGAATCAAAAGCTTGAAATATACTCTTTATTTTATGAGTAACCCTTTAACACATTTGTCAAATGATAGACACTACACCTTTAGTTGTTTGTAAGCATCATGGCATGGTAGACTCTATTTCTTTCAAGCTACAAACCCTACTTTATACATCTTCTTTCAATATGATTAATAGCTTAATAATTTCTCATAAATAATTGGGTTGACTTAGATCACCTACTACATGAATTTATTAGTACAAATCATTATATATATTGTTTCTGGGTAATTCAGTTATTATAACCTAGCCATTTTGGTACTAATTTTTGAGGTGCATGCATGTTGATAAAAATGTTTGATTTGATGTAGTTTTTTCATCTCAAAATGTTTCAATCAGAAGGTGGTTGTGGACAGTGATGGGTGGATGTTTATACATAAACCCTAGGTAGACTTATAATCATGAGTATTTTAAAAACCAAATTGACAAGTGATTTGCAATTGATTAGATTAAATTCCATTGTCATAAAACAAAAAGAAAATACACTAATTTATATACGTGTATTAATTAGAATGAGTCTAATTAGCCCTTTGAAAGCATGGTGTTTTTGTCCTTATATGGATTAGCTAGGGACCCATCCATGGAGTAGTTGGGGTTTGATTATACAATACATATAGTTTCTACATTAATTGATTAATTAATGAATTGATTAAATACCATATACTTTAATTAAACTTTTTTTCTGACTTGATTGTTTTATTTCTCACCCAATTGGTGATTATGAATTGAAGGCTGATAATTTGAGGCAACAAACCCTTCACCAGTTGTGTCGATTACTCACAGTTCGTCAAGCAGCAAGATGTTTTCTTGTTATTGGAGAGTATTATGGTCGTCTAAGAGCCCTAAGTTCTCTCTGGGCATCAAGACCACGCGAGTAATTATTCATCTTAACTTTTTTTGTGTATTTTTTCTCTTGATATCTATAAGAACCCTAAATATGCAGCATTGAAAAGATTGATGAAAAAGATAACCAAAAAGATTGAGAAAAAAAGTGACACACCCTTTTGATTTGGTTGAACAGGAGCTTGATGAGCGATGACAACTCATGCCAAACAACCACGGAATTGCAAATGGTTCAACCTTCTCAGAATCACTTCTCCAATTTCTGAAACATAATGTAATTGAAACCTGCAAGTGGATTTCTTTGAGCTTCTCAGCGATGAAGATTTAATTAATAATATATATATATAATAATTTTTTTTCATTCTTTCTCTCGTGTCTTTATGTTTTGTTGTAACTAAATCCAGATAATAATATTATAGCATGTAAATGATCAAATCATGTTAATGAGAGATAATAATATTATAATATATAAATTCATACAAATTTTATTTTACTAAATAAGTTTTGTAAGATTGAATTAAGCAATAGGAATTTAGATAAAACTGATGTAATTATAGTTAAGTGGTTGTTATATGTTTTTAATTTTCTTTGAGATATATCATATTTTAAATTTAATTAATTAATTACTTTAGAACTTAGAAGAAGTATAAGGTGGCACAAGTTGGTGGAAGAGAGAGTTGCATTTATATAGTAGTGGTTTTGGTTGCAAGTGGAGAATCATATATATATATATATATATATATATATATATATATATATATATATATATATATATATATATATAATTAATGCAGAGGAGACAAATGATGAAAGAAGAGGTTGTTTAAATTCATATAAGAAATAAGAAGGTTGTTGTCTGGTTTTGGTGGTTATTGCACAATTTGCGTAGGATTGTGTCTCTTCGTTTATTTGAAGTGGTTTGGTTTGGTTAATTTATTTCAAAGAAAATGCGTTTGTGTCTTTATGTGCCTTTGAAAAATGAGAAATGATCCATTTTTGTGTGCATTTGAGATCGATAATTGTGAAGTTTTTCAACAACTTTCCTATGATAATGAAAAATAAATTACTTAAATCTTATAAAAAATAATACTGTAATGAGTCTTATTGTCAACTCATTCTCTTAAATCATACTCAAACAATATGTCAAAGAAGTGTTTTGAGTTGAAAATAAGGTATTTTTAATGGCAATGGTAATGGAGCAAAGGGTGTATGACACGTGTAAACAATGGTGTCTGAAAATTTTCAACACATAGACACTCTATTCTGGAAAAGAGTTTCAACTTCATACCATTTTAGAATACAAATTATATGTAAATTGAACTTATGAAATTAGTTCTCAAAATGAAATCTATACTTCATTTCTATTATAATTTGATAATATTTTTAACCAATATAAAATCTTTTAAAAAAAGTATTCATTAATCAGATGCAAACTTTATTTTAAATAAAAGAAATCTTCATTTTCTGTCAAACCTAGCTATATACCTTATCTTCTAAAGTTGATTCATAGTGAGGAGGGAATGAGAGAATGACAAAAAAGGGTGATGGTGTGAATGAAATGCATGGGAAGAGGGTAACCTACACTGTTTATGAGAGTGATGGAGAGGAGAAAGAGTTAAGAGTGTGTGTTAAATATGTTGTAGAGGTTACAGATAGATATCTGGCATGAACCTAGCTTCGTACATACACACATCTGCATAACATGTTGAATCTGTTCAACCATTAACTTCCATTGTAGGCATAGCCTGATAGCTTCCTGACACATTTGTTCCCATTCTTAGTCGCAAAATAAAGCAGCAGCAGCAGCAGCAAGTAAGTAATTGCTTTTGGCACTGTTGGTGCATGTTTTCACATGCATGGATTTTAGACCTTTTGATGAATTAATCCTCAAAGGTTGAGTGCTGTGTACGTGTGAGTGGAAAGGGACTATACAGAACACATTAACTACATGCATGCTAAGTACTTGATGCACCACTGTGGATGCACATGCATGTGATGAACCAACAAATTAATAAGCTCCAAGTGAAGTTATTGATCATGTCTATGCAATGCATTGACCTCAACTCCTCTTCCCCTCTACTCAGTATAAAGCAATCACTTTTGCTGTAACATATATCAGTTAAGTGTGGCCAGTTCGAAAGTTTATATTTTTCTTTTAACTTCTTAATTACAGACATTTATGAGAACATAATGGGAAAAAAATGTTTAATTCAAAATAATAACAATATTTTATTATTAATTAAAATGTTCTGCAAGACTAATGCCCTAACTTTGTATATCTAAAGTCAAATATTAGGGTCCTTGTAACCTAGTTGTTCTTAATTAGCAACCAAGAACAATTATATTTTGTGTGGCATTTCAAAATTTGATATGTTTATTTAACTGGATAAAAAACATTTTGAACTAATTTAGTGACTCATCAAAGTAAATATTTTAGTGTAAGTTTGGGTTTTTGGAATAAATCTTATTTATTCATTAACTTGGTCTAAGGTGAATTTAAAAATGTTATCTTTTCATTAATGTTATACTTTGTGTAAGCATATAGTATTGAATTAGCATTTAGCAGCCTCTGATATTGGATCGTTGAGAATTTGAAGCAACCTCCAATTAGTTGACATGCTCCAGAAATGATATAATTGTTTTTTATATTTTTTCTCAGAATGCAGGATCCTTCATGATAAATTATTTTTATTTTTATAGTTCTAATAGTTTGGCCTGGGGATTTGTCTACTACTTTTGAATCAATTATGAGCAATTGGAATTAAATTATTGGGAAAGATCGCAATATGGGTCATTATCGGCGTGCTTATACATTAACCGTCCAATCTTCATGAGATTTTAGAGGACAATTTTCCTTTTTTTTTTTCTTAGTTTAATTAATGTATACGTCTCTTTAGATTAGGTATCATTTTATAATTTATAGGAAGCAAAGTAATGCTTCTTTTGTCTTTACTTATTGTGTATGAGATTCAGAGTGGGGACCTGCATTAAAGCATTGAAAAGAAAGGAAATAGTTAAATATTGAATTAAAGATATTTTTTATTTTACTAGGTTATCTGATGCTGTTGCTGTGAAAACTACAAAGAAAATTGAAATAATTTGTGAATCGTATAATGAACTTGGATTAGGTATGTTCTACGTACAGCAAACTCGGGGATGAATTTGGTTGACTGTAAGTTTTGCTGAATGCTAGATTTAACGTATGTTATTTGAGTCATCAACTGAAAACTATTGCTTTAGGTTATATCAAAGAGACCCAATTTACGATGATGGGATTCTTGAGTGGTTGAGTTGTTGATTTGTTCATTATTTGTTAACAATATTTTAAGTGGTGCAGTCAACCCATAGCCAACCAGTCAGAATTGGCCCAGAATCTTGGCATTTGTCATGAGAAGTTTCCTGAAGTTTATTATAATAAATATGAAACAATTTCATGAATGATCTCGTTTTATTTTTATATCATAACAAAACAATCTTAGGAAACAAACAGCCAATGGCTAGTTGAGAATGAATCCGAAGCATACTTGTTTGTGTCATAATGGAATAGTAAAACAAAGTTTACATAATCGAATGATTAAGGCAAATTGAGAGAAAACAGCAGAAAATAAGACATGGATCGTTTTCTTCTGTTCAATTATCTAGTACTAGTATTAGGTGGCTGAAGATAGGATTAAACGTTTAACTCAAATCCCAGAAAAACTAAATTAAAATTTCATTCTCCATTATTCAGGAGAAAACAATCAATAATGTGCGAGTCATGTTCTACAGCAAGGACAATCAACATTATACATTGTAACGTAGCTGAAGTCACAGCTTCAGAAATGAAATCACTATGAATGACAGAGCGCTATGATCTTATCTCCTATATAGAAAACCATTTCTGAGACCATTACTTGAACACAGCAAAACTAGTTAGATATATGAGAGAAGGGATGGATCTAAAAATGCAATTTCATGAAATCCATGATTGAAGCTTCCTCTGTACAACTTTCAACAAAAATATGGAATTGCAATTATAAGTCTCTTCACATCTCCCGTTTACCCTATAAATGTGTCAAAATTCGTAATCCCAATCACAAAAGTTTTCCCTTCAGAGAAACTCAAGCACCATCAGGAACATGATGCCCACAAGGTTCACTGAATACATACAGACCCTCCTTCAGACATAATACGTGTAACCTGTAGTGTGCACGTTATGTCCCTTCACATAAGCATATTTAAGTCTGATAGGTCGTCCATTGGAATCTCAAGGCCAATAGAATCATGGTCTTGCAAGCCATCTTCATCAAAGTTCAACCAAGAACTTAGATCGTGTGGGCCACCAAATTCTTCTATTGAACTTAAATCAGGTAGTGGCAAATTCCCAAAGTCATTGGATTCCTTTATTTGAGAAGTGTCCATACCAGATAATGATGTTGCCACATCTTTGCTACCATCGTTGATTGTATCATTAGCTGGTAAACGAGCAGAATCATTTGCTTCCATAAACCTATCGTGTCCACTAGCACTAATCTTTTGCTTCTTTGCTTTTGGTTTGTTCTCATGTTGGCTACTTTCCACAGACATGCGTCCAGATCTGCCAATAGAGTTTTGTCTACTCAGGTCCCGACTTTGATTCCTATCTCTCTCACTTCTCTTTCCCTTCACTCCACCATGAACAGCACCATCAAGATTTGATGCTCGTGAGGAAGAACCACTGACACCACCATTGACCAGCATTTCCCTCTTCTTTTCTTTGATAAACACGGACCCATTCTTGGATGATGCTTGTTCTGATGACTGAATTGAACCTTGAAAAGAATCAACCAATCCTCTGTCTGCATAATCTCTATGGCAATCATATTTCTCGGAAGCACTAGAAACTGCACCTGTAATAGACACAACAAAAATAAGTGAGAAAAAATCAAGTAAACCAACAAACACAGAAATCTCTTGCACGTTAGTAAAGATACAGTCAATGAAACAGTATTTGCATAAAGGAAGAAACAAGGTGATTACTTATCAATGTTTTCTAAGACCTAATACATTAAAGGGGTGACAACACGTCCAATAAAAAAACAGAATTTTAGAATACCTGATTTTCTGGGATCAATTTGATGGGAAGTTTTGTTACATGTATTACTAGCTGTGCCAGAGACCATGCAACCTGCAAGTTGAGCATCATTCTCCCGTGACTGTGGGGCAAACATGATATTTTGTAGGGTAGGTTCACTAAAGCAGTTAATGCCAGCTTCTTCATATCTTTTACATCTTCCAAGAGTACGCTTGATAAAACCCAAAGCAACTTGTTTAGACACCTTGTGAACTGCACCTTTTGAATTTTTGCTTCCTCGGCATGCCTGCAAATATTTTAAATTGATGAACTAATTATTACAGCTAATTAAAGGACTCCATTCATTCATTCATTAACAAAAATTTCCAATTGCCAGTGATCTTAGAATAGTAACCTACATTAATAAACTGATTATATAGAAAAGACTAACATTAAATGTAAAGAAATTGTCTATTTGTGACCCTTGTAAGTTGTCATGCAGAAGGTCATCATCACCATTATCATAAACTAGAAAGAACTTGCAGGGAAACAACACAGAAATGGAACAGGGGAGGGAGAAACTATGGACCATTCACATGTCTCTCTCAAAAGAAGATAACCAACGACACAAACTACAAGACAGCTATATAAAGAGTTAGAAATCCAAGTTCCTCTCAGAGCAAGTAACAACACGGCATGTCTTACAAAACGTGAGTCAGTAGGAAACCACTCTTTACACTGAAACTAAGTCTATCAAAGACCATATTGGTGTTTTAGCATGTAGGTTTTACAAAGCCAACCTTAGTTCCCTACTGTTAGAATATAGAGGCCAACAATATCTGCAAAGCAACCAAATATGTTGTTCTCTTCACTGTGTAGAGGGTTCAAAGTCCAAACCAGAGTTATGCTTGGCCGGAAAACAGGTATATGACCAGGTTGAGTTGCTTAACGGTTCATAAATTTATCTAACCCAATTACGATATCAGTGACAACCTCAAACCAGAATAAAGTGGCAAAACTTCAGTACCAGAAAACCATTCTTTAGTTGGGGACTGATGTTGCATACAGTCCTTCCTAGGTGAAGAAAAGAAGTTGTAATAAAATGCACATGGGGCCCAAGGTGGAGGAAAGTAGTCCAACGTGTGTGTGACCCACTGACCCAAAGTTTTTGTTTGATGTGGCATGCAGTTCAAGATATTCACATTTTAAACTTTATTTTACTCGCACTGATTCAAATAGTCCCACTAGTGGCTAAGGTTAATGCCTCGTCCATGCAGATGACTGATCTAGTTCTGATAACATTGGTTCGAACTAGTGTAATTTTGATTTAAAAAATACAAAATTTTATAACTAGAGGGATGTATATTACAAATCTTTGTAAGTCTTAATAAAATCATGCATTAAAATGGTAAGGAAATTTGTAAATCTTATCTTAATAAAATACAAGAAGAGGTTGAGAGAGGAATATTTAGTACCAATCTCTTTCTGTAAGCCATTTCAGTAAGATGGTCAAATGCAGCTTGCTCAATCTTTCTGCACAATAAGCACATAATCTGAATAAGAATCAATTACATCTTAAGAACAAAATCAAGAAATGGAAAGTCATGACTCATGAATACTGGAAAGTAAAAGGAAATCAGGACAAAAGCTATAAAGAAAATGAAGTTGAAGATACAAAGAGGAATCATAGGAAAAACATAATTAGCACTTACAGCCTTTTCACATCCCTCTCTTCTTGAATAGCTCTATCAAGTTTGTCCAAAGTATTCTTCTTCCTTCGATTCTTTTATATATCAAATAAGGGTAGAGATATAAGAATGGACCAAATTTAAGATGGATTTGGTAAAAGGTAAAATAACATGAAAAATAATTTCAATACACACCTGCTCGTATAGAGCTTTCTCAAGTTTGACAATGTCTTGATTAATAGCTTCATCTTCCTCAGCTAAATCAGGCTGCTCCAAGCAAAATAAGTTTAAGGATTATAGACACGAATTTAGTAAGCTTCAAATAACTATGATATTTTTAATTCCATACATGAAATAAAAGCCTACCAATATTTCAGGATATAAGCCAATGCTCTGCAACTCAAGCAGCAGTCTGTCATCCAGAGACATCAGCTGATACTGGCCATCAGGAGAAGGAAAGCTAGGAACACTTAATTCAGTAGGCTGCAGTTGATCAAGATCATTTGAGCATATTTCACCAGTGTGTGTGATATCTGAGAGAGAAAATTCTTCATCTCCCTGCCAAACTCCAGTGCTTTGTAAAGAACTGGATGTGTTTGGGTATCTAAATGTGTTGGATGTGGTGCTCTTATCACAAGATAGTCTATCCAACATGCAGTTCTTCTGAATTTGAAGATCCACCTCTGATTCAACTTCAGAATCCATTCTATCCCGATCTTTGGGTTCAAAATCAATTTGATTACAAGAACCACAGTGAGAATCATCACTAGCACATTGTCTAGATATATTCTTTGCATCACTTTGGTGATATGATTCTTCACTTTCCTCTTCTTCAATTAGAGCACAAAGAAGCCTTTGGAATAGTGGGATAACCTTGTCCGGTCTTTCCATGTCCTTCTTTCCAATCAAAGCATCAAACTTAGTTGATTCTTCATCACATTGACTTCTCTTTCTTTGCTCTGAATCTTGGGTGGTCTTGTTATTTATAACAACACCCTAAGGAAATAAAAGTTTACTAATTACAACATTCCTCCAGATGAAATTGTGGGGTGATAGTGAAAATCTTAATACAGAAGAAGATCTGGACAGAAGTTCTTCATTATCTATAAAATGAAAGATATAGGATAGTTTTGTATAATACCAAACACTTACCAACAGATCTTGATCAATGCCAAACATATGAGATAAACTTTTATCAAATTCCTCAGTAATATTGAGCTATTCAACAACCAGAAAACAAATAATCAGTAAGTCAGAATCTATTCACGTTATGGGAGTCAGATGGTAACTTCACATTTCCAGAAAAACACGTGTTCAAGACCTAGTTGCTACCTGTTGCTTCAAGGAAGATGCATCATCCAAGCTGATAGACGCAAAAATAGACTCCATTTTATTCCAAAACGGACCCGAACAAGCAAGGTCTACATAAAATAAGCCATCAAAGTGGTCAAATATAAAACTAGATACCAAAAAGAATAACATTTAGTAGAGTATAAAATAGCTAAAGAAGCATACCACTAGCTTTACGGGCAGCATTTGCAGCTTTACATAACTCTTCACGATCATCATCAGATTCACCTGGACAATCACATTTCAATATAGTGCATGAAAACATAATGAAAAGGATATATATATATATATATATATATATATATATATATATATATATATATATATATATATATATATATTTAACAGGTTACATATTAAGGTGAAAACAAAATTATATAAATTTAATACAGAAAACTAAATTTAATGATAGAATAAGTTATATGTAGAATAACATAAAAAGTACTGAAAATTATTAATTTAGCCATCCGTACCATAAAAATTAAAATTCACAAATAGACAAATAGCTTCTAAATATCACAGTACCTCCGAAATCAGAAGAACTAATGTTCAGTTGTTTCCCTACACGAGCCACAACTTTGCGCTCTTTTTGCTTTTTTGAAGGAGGGCGACCATATTTGCTGCATTCAACAAAAAGATGCAAGGACAGTTTCAGAAATGGAAGGAGAAAGAGTGAACTAGATCTAAAAATAAAATCAACTTACATTTTACTCTTTTCATTAAGCTTCATGTCCTGTACTGGCTTCATTATTGGCACATTCTCCAACTTCTCCCTCCCAGAAGGGATGCCTGGCCTTACTAGTGATAAATTCCTTCCACTTCTTCCATGCCTCTGCACACTATCTCCAGATTCATCGGTTGATATCTTATTCTTCCTCATTTGAAACATAGAAGCCCCAGCCTTATCCGATACCAAAGCAAAGTCACTGCCATTCACTCCTTTCTCTTTTATTTTGTTTTCCCCAGCTCCAGATTCTTCACTTTCAGATAACCCAAAGGGAGATGAAATATCATCAGGAGGTCTTTTATATTTTAGATTGCTGTTGTCTACACTGCTTGCTAGTGGAAATCCATTGTTGCCAGCAGAAGAAGCTTTAGCACTGAAATCAGAAGTTAGACAACCTTCGGATGAGACCTGAACTTCAAGATTGCGTGAGGCAGGAGAAACTACTTTGACTCTTCGTGAGCGTGAATTTTTAGGTGGTCTCTGACCAACCCACTGGGTCATTGGATGTATAGAAGAACCTATGGATGTAAAAAAGCTTTTAATAATTTTCCATACCAACCACTGAGACTTCATATTAGAATTTGAAGGAAGTTACAAACCAGGAAATGCTGTAGATGAAGGTTGAGTGTTCGATGATTCTAGTGCACTAACTGAACCTGTTCTTGGTGCTCGAGATACCTTGTTTTTAATTATTGTGTTAGGGCTGCTTGCTGGATCCTCCTGAGTGCTTGCCCTATTTATAGAAACACAAAAATTTAATAAATTTATAAATAGCTATCAAACATTTAAATGTAAACAACCAGTCTAAAAATTTGATGTGTTAAATCTTAGTCTAGAATCTCACAAAACTGACTGATAAAACAACCACGCTGTAGTAGAGATAAAGACCATGTCATTATATGTTCAAACCTGTTGTTTCCTTTTGCAACAACTCTCTGCTCAGCTACATGTTCCCTGTGAGCAGAAACACCTTGCTCACTTGTAAGCATCATGCGCACACCTGTATTAGTAAGCTCTGAAGAGCCCTCAGACTTGATTCCACCAGAACCAGACTTCAATCTACAACCAAAACAACTGTATTAATACAAAAGATTTAGTTTTGCTTTTCTGTTCTCCAATAACAAAAGTAGAAACAAACCATTCCCAGTGATTGACTACCTAAGATTTGAAGAATAACCCAAGAAAAAACATTCCAAGAGGAATATTACTGGAAGAAAAGATTAGCGAGAGAAAGAAACCAAGCAATATGATGTAGATGAACTTCTATCTACTGCTGATTGTGATAGGTTTAGTCAATTGCAGAATATAAACAAACAATAAGCATGTAATTCAAACTTAAAAAAATGGAATTTTCCAATTGAATGTATCCTATTCAACATAATTAACCTTGATGCATTCATCATTTGTGAATGTAATATACAAAGAGGTACAAATCATTTATCTATGGCTAAAAAGCTCCATCTTAGATATATTCCTGCAATTGATTCATAAATTATTTCACTGCCAAACACAGAAAATAAAGCATTTAACATTCCAGGTATTCCAAGAAATAAAAATTACCTTTAAATGAGTAATTATTCAGAGTATGACACAATTTAGTATAATTACTTCTCTAACCACATCTTTGTTAAATAGAAGGATTATCAGAAGTGCCTGTATTAAATTTCAATCACTTTTTCAACTACAAGAAATTAAACCATGGAGAAAACTGCATGTCCAAGGGATCATTTAAATCTTTTAGAGTATATGTGTGTCTGAACAATCACCAAACAAGAAAAAAAATGTAAAGAAAAGTTATGCATCAGAGCATTATCGTCAAGATCCCCAAAACAATAGCTATAATTTTACTAAATAAATAAAAAAATGCCCACAGAGGCCCAGGCACCACTTCTGTTTAATAGCCAATGAAGAGAACGCAAATAAGACTGTTTTTTACCCTTCTAAACAAACAAAAGGAATGTTTTAAAAAAAGGCAACAGATTACTGAATGAACCAGATAAGTACACTGACTATTGTTGATATTAAAAGCGAAAGTAACAATATTGGGGGGACACATTAAATGGATTCCTTTGGAATGCTGTATTTCACACTTAACATAGTGAAAAAGTCTTCATATATGATGTACAGAAAGACCCGATTTAAGGGTTTGAACATCAAATTGATAGTAGAGGAGGATAAAAAGAAAACGAGAGAAAAAAAATTTCAAGAGAAGAGAGAAAAAGAAAACGTTAGTGAAACACTTGAGAAGAAAAAGAGTAATCAAAAGAAGAGTGAAACACTTGAAGTGAGAAAGAGCTATTTAACCACAAAAAGTGAGTATAATGTTTGTTATACATTCAATTTGTCAAACTTATCTCTTTTTTATGTAGATGCTTAATCTGATTTGAGGACAAATCTCTTTCAAGAGGAAGAGAATGATGTGGACATGACCTATGACAAGGGCTAGAGCAAGGGAAGAAAAGAAGCTCTTCAACAAGTATTGTTGGTTGACCAACTTGTGTTTTTGATTAATCAATTAATGGGCTTTAGTTTGGTTTTATTGCAAGTTGTAATAAGGGCCAATTGAAAATTTAGTCATCAGTTTTTGGGAGACCAAGAGGGTGCATAATTGATTGACTTTTGATTGTCACAATTTCAGTTACAATCAGTCATTAAGTAGTATCAATTCTTAGGTTAATGAATCATTATTAGCTTTTATTTGTCTTCATTAAATAGTTTTCAATTCCTAGGTTAATGAATTATTATTAGTATTTATTGAATCTTTGTAATTCTGATGACAAAGCTTCTATATAGACTGAACCATCTTTTTATCAAATATAACAAGTTGAGTTTTATTCAGAAATATTAGAGTTTATCTCTTTTATCTTAGTGAGAGTGATTCTCCTAAGTTCTTGAGTGATTCAAGAACTCTTGGTTATATATTAAAGGATTTTCACATCCTTTGTGAGTTGCCTCCTTTGAGAAGAGTGATTTTTTTCTTCCACCTTATCACTAAATTCCTAAATTTCCTACAAGGTTCTAATCCTAAAAATCCTAAATCCTAAATCATCCCTTGTGCTATTGAGATTCATATCAAATGTTGTATTTCACACTTAACATAGTGAAATAGTCTTCATATATGATGTACAGAAAGACCTAAATGCCTCCAAAAACTCTCCAACAATTTACATTTGAAAAATATATATTGCAATTTAAAAGAAAGAGTAAAATAAAATAAAAGAAATAAATACCTGAAACCCTGAGCATCATAAAGTCGCATCTTCAAATCAGCATTTGGCTTTGGAAGAGCAGTTCTTTTTACATCTCTTTCATTAGTCGTAACTCTATTTCCTACAGTTCCAACAGACCTCTTTTTCTTTATCTTTTGATCCAACCCTTCACCTCCAGCAAGTAATCTGCGAGTTTTCTCTTCATTTCGAACAGAGCTCCCACCAAGTGTCTGAACCAGACTTGCATCCTTCTCTGTGACCATCCGTGCCCTTCCAATAGCAGCAGACCTACTTTCCTCCTGGGAGCATTGCAGAGTGAGCAAAGTCATGAAGAAAGAATGAAAGCAAACAGAAGCAGATTATTAACATAAATAATAAATTAAAAACAAGAAGAAAACAGCCTAAAAATTGTCCATTTTTAAAATCTGACATATATTATCATTTATCAATGCTTTACTTGGAGATTGAGATGGCAGATGACTCAAATCATTCCATTCTAAAATGTTTAAACTAGTCTAGAAGCAACTTAAATATTTTCTTTCGGGATTAAAAAGGAGCTTAAAAATTTAATTGTCAATTGATGTGTATATTATTAGGCCCTAAAAATATTAAAAGTCCATATTGTTAAAAAATATTTAACAATATATATGACAAGTCTGCAATATAGTATTTTAATAATAATAATAATAATAATAATACCATCTGTCATTATACATATATAGAATAAAAACAAGGAAGTAACAGTAGTGCAACACATTCGCACCCGCACATCTGCCATTGACGTACGAATTCGCTTGTTCAGCATTGAATTTGAGGCCCTTGCTTCTGTTCTCTGAGTTAGATTATCATTAGAGGTTTTGTGAATCTGGTTACCCATCTTTGTCAGGTTTACTCCACTCCCCCTATCATTAGATAAATCAGTCCTTTGTCGCTTCTTTATGTTTAATGCCTCATACTTTTCCAATTTAGACAAAGATTCCCCAAGCATTTTTGACCTATCCCTGATCAACATTATACATTTGCATTAGGACATCGATACGAACGTACAGTGTCATAAAAGATTAGGTAAACAATACATTTGAAACTATCACTTCTACAGTAGACAAAACATAATAACAAATATTTTACAAAACTTAAGGTCATAAAGAATTAAGAAAAAGGCCAAGCATACATTCAGAGTCACACATTGAGTACAATAAACTACATGATACGGTACTTAATCTTGAGGCTCCCCACCTAATGGACTAATAGTTCGGTTGGACTTTCCTCTTGTAATCAAGTCCTAACATAGTTGTCACCAATTACACCCTCACAAAAATTATACCAACTGTAAGGTAATGAGGCCATTCATTTCACAGTTGTCCTAGCCATATTAAATTTTGTTTATCATTCAGCCTTACAAATAGAACATTTCAGGTGTGAAGAATATGTTGGAGGAAATTGGGTAGAGTAACAATCATATACCTTGCCTTTCTGGAAGCATCTTGTACACTTTCTTTGAAGTGCTTTAGTTCCCCTGAGGCTCCAGCAGCCATAGGTTTAGGATATGGACCTCCAAAAGATTGGTCTTCAGACGTGTTTCCAGCGGAAACACCAAGAACCCTTCTTAGCTCTCCTGTATATTTTCTACTGCCTACAGTAATTGAATCTAGTGGCAAACACTGTGGCAAGGGTGGCATATCCGAAGAAATTATCCCGTTGCTGCTGCTGCTGTTCAAGTTATTCCCAGAACTCAACATTAAGCTGTCAACCTTACTAAAGCTTAAGGCAGGTCAAAAGAAAGTCTTTCTTTTGCACTGCGAGATCAAACTGAGTCTCCCAATTCCTGCCCGCAACCTATTAATGCAGAACAAAAACATTGATTTTTAACCGCTAGATAAAGCTCCTATTTGGAAAAGTTTTCCATAAACATTGTAAGAGAAGAAACATGATAAAATGAATTGAATTTCTCTCATAACTAAAATTCAACTTAAGCACTAAACTTCTATAGAAGTTTCTCGTCTATCTTGTTCAAAAGCTGAAGATGAAGTGCATAAGCTATTAACTTGTCGGAAAAACTCAATTCATTTTACTTCCTTAACTTCTTCGCTTTTAGTGTTTACCAAGAAGCTTATCTAAACAATGCTAGACTACATCATATTATATAGAAATTAATAACGAGTCCATATACAGCTCCGACTAGATCCGAATAGATTATACCACGAGATCAAGCAAGACGAGAGAAAAATTGAAACAAACTACTTAAAAAAATACGTACTAAATAACCCTCGTTAGAAAAACGAAAAAGCTTCCACTAAATAAATGAGCCATATTTCTCCGGCTTCCAGAATCAACATTAGCCGGAATAAACATGGAATCACATGCCATGTCAACGAAGGTTGATAATCCCTAACGTACATTACCAATTTCACGAAATCACAACACCAAATTCCCCACAACGAATAATACAAAATGCAAAACATCGCATAGTTCAGAAAAGAAAATTAAAACTAAAAACTAATTTCCCGTCTTTATTTACAGCTAAAAAGGAAAAAACAAAATTGGACAGAAATTTTGCAGTAAAACCAAAACGACAACAAATAGAGAAACGAACTAGATAGTGGCAACCGTCATACAGACAAAGGTGTAGGAAATTCCGCGAAAGATCGGAATTGGGGACACGAGGGAGAATCAATTGGTTGGAAAAAAAAAAAACAAAAAACAAAAACCTAGGTTGAATTGGGGGAATTGGGGAAAAGTGGGTTGAAGATGAATTGAAAGGATGAATTGAAGCAACGTATAATCGATGATCGGAAAAGAGTACCTTGAAGTGGAATTGAACAAAGTCAAGCGCAGATCAAAGTCGCAGAGTTGAGTCCCAAAAAGGTAAAGATATATTCATATATTATATAAAAAATTATATAATATTATTATAAACAATAGATAGTGTTATATTATATAGGCATAAAAAATATTGTAGTGTGGTGAATAATCAAAATAATACAAAAAAAAAAACATTTTTTACTGAAAATAAAAAATAGAGCTAAAAAGAACCAAAATAACGCGGGAGGGTACATTCTACGCCGCCTCTACCGTATGCCATTCGTATGTATGTTGTCGTGTATTTTTATGAATTCAACTTAAATACACTAACTTTAATAAATACGTGAGATTATTCATTGATGTAATAACATTGTACCAAAGTTTAATATTAATAATGTCTGATTGATATATATATATATATATATATATATATATATATATATATATATATATATATATTATTTTTTTAGGTATTGATCATAATTAGAGTAAATTTCCAATCTAAAAAGATGATAAAAATGTTTGTTTTTTTCTGATTCGCGATTGACATAAACAAAATAGTATATAGAAATAATTATGTATTTTGTAAAATTATCTAAAGTTTAATAAAAATAATAATTAGAAATTTATTTTTTTATTCTTATCATTCATTTATTTTAATTTAATAATCTAAAATAACTATTAATTACAAGGTTTATTTATTTATGGTTCTAATTTTCTTTTTCAATTTTTTAGTTTTAAAAAACTAAAACAATTTTTTTGATATCATTTTAATTTTCAAAAAAAAATTAACTAAAAAAATAAAATTAATAAAAATGTTTTATAATCTTAGTTTTCTATTATATTCATGTCTTCATTAATAATTACACTACATTATTCATCTTTGATTAATAAAAATTTATCAAAATTATTTTTTAATTTTCTTTCATAATTTTTCATTATCATCATGTTATTTCATAAAAGTAATTTTTAAAAATTCTATAATTATTTTATATAACTAACAAAATTAAATTAAATCTAATAAAACCTGAGTGTCTATTCTTTATTCCAGTGGAAATACAAATCTATGATCCATGTGTGTCTGTATTTTTATTAGATTTTTTATTTTAATTTATTAAAGTTTAATATATATATATATATATATATATATATATATAATTTAAAAAAATTTATGAAATTATAAATTTTTAAAAAGAAATAATGTGAGACATAATTTAAAAAACGTATAAAAATGATTTTTTATTATTATTTTTAAATTCGAGAGAAAGAAATGAAGGATTAAAAAAAGGAATTGAGTTATTACGTATATATAAAATTATATTTGTTGTATATATGATAAAAATTAAAAAAGAAAGTTTTATTTATATATATATATTTATATATATATATATATATTTTTTATTTTTTTTTCAAGGATCAATTTAAAAATATAAGTTTTTATTCAAAGATTATATTAATTCGGCAAAATTATAAATTTTGAATATATTAAAGGATATGATAATATGTTTGTTGACCTTCTTTTCAGTGTACATCACAACTAAGGACTTGATCAAGTCCTCCAACGAAAACTAAGATTATGGATAATAATTTGGTGGCACAAAATGACCATGAGATTTTAGGGATATGGATTTTTTACACAGTCATTAAGATTTGGTTTAGTTTTAGTCATCATCCTCCCATAAAAATTACTAAACACATAAAAAGACTAAAAAGAATATTAGTCGAATTACATCTAAAGAAAGATGAAATAAACTCTCGTAACTTTGTTTATGAGGTTGCCTTTTATAAAGCTCATATAAAATCCCTAGAACAAGAACTAGGGAAAATAAGTCATTTTGTTGTTTGATATAACATGTTTTCTGATTGTTTTTCAGGAACAAAAGACCATTGATGACCATTACAAATTAATATAACTTGCTTACTAATGTTTCTTTTTCAGGAACAGAAATCCAATGATGGATTCCATAAACAATGGGAAGGGCTTTTAGGTCCTAAACCTACAAAATTCTCATTTATGGCGGAGAAATACACATATCTAACAGTTTCCTGGTAGAGAATCTACAAATGTCAAATTAAATGTTTTAATTGACAATATTTGGAGTATTAAAAAACACACAACTCAGAATGAGCAACAATGCACTAAAATGAAGCAAAGCATTATTAAGGCACTATATTGTTTCTGCAATGCAGATAACAAGGAAGTTAGGTTGACTTCCACAACCACAACACCTCTTTCTTGTAAGGGGTTTACACATTATGCCCTAGTTACGGGGTCAAACAAAGGAGTTTATACTTCTTACAAAGACCTCTATGAGGTCAAACAGGACCAGTTTTGTTCTACTTACAAAGGTTTTTATTTTACGGAAGAAGCCCATATGACTTTGAAATTTGAAACCATAAATGAAGATAAAATAAAAATGGTCATTTTGCTTGAGCCAAAGACCCAAACACAAACCTATGCATGAGCCTGTTGCCTTCCTACCCAGGTTAACCCAAATATTTTCTTAGCCAAGTTTGGCTTGATACAAGAATTTCTGTTTGAAGTTCATTTTGAAGCCCAAAATCCAAATGGACTTGTTGTCAAAACACAAATTTATTTTAACACTAGGAACCCTTGCTTAGGATCTCAGAATACTGGACAACAATTACAAAAAATTACACATGCCAAATAAAGTTTATCATCCGAAGGACACAAATTGATTTGTCAACCTTCAAAAACTATTTGTATCGAGAGCTTCTGTTAAGCCCACAACTTTTGTTAGAAGTCGAATGTCTCCAAGTTATTTTCATCCCGCCCACAGAAAGATTTCACTCATTAACACTAGAGATAAATTATTTGGTAAATGAGATACAAACTGAGCACATAACAAACATGCCCTTACACATTATTTTTCCCCCAAAAAGTTTCACTTCGCCTGATAGAGTAGCAAAACCTGTTGTTAAGTTATTACATACATATAAATTTATATTAGTCGTATATATGATAAAAAATAATTACGTAAAAAGCTTTATATATATATATATATATATATATATATATATATATATATATATATATATATACAAGGATCAATTTTAAAACTCATATTTTATAAACTAAAATCTTAACTTTTTTATTTTTTTTAACAACAAACATTATAATTTATATTATTTATTTTAACTAAACATTATTCGTACATTTCTTGTTATGTTTTATGTAAATTATAACTATTTAATTACAACTAACAATTAGGGTTGTATAATATTGTATTTGTTTTTCTATATCAATGTATCTTTCTTTTCCCTTCCACCACTAGCAATAACTCGAGCAACACTAATACATTGTTGCCATTACCATTGGTTCTTTCATATTTTCTTTTGTACATAATCCGATCACATTTTTCAGAGAAACTTGATGATAAGATTTTTTCTATTGCTCAAGCAAGGCGAACAAATTATCAAAGCACATAAGTTGCATAAATTTTCTCCGACCACGTTAAAGAGAAACTTGATGATAAGCATTTCTTGCTATGGCATCAAAAGTCAAACCATCATTTTCTTGTTGCTTCATATACTCATACTAAGAGTAATAGAATAGATTGAATTTCATTGATTTGATTTTTCGATAATGTTAAGTATTAAAATGTCTTTTTCACGTCATTCACTCCCATTTTTTAATATTTGATAGAGTTTGAAAAAGTTAATTTTAATATATTAAAATTTGATCATAATAAGTTGAAATTCGAATTAACATCATTTATTTTTATTTCGAATCATTTAGTTACATTTCTATCATGTCAATTTTCAGGAAAAATATTTGACATTTACTATAGACTCGATAAAACATATCTCAGACCACTAGTTGGCCAATGAGCACCACCTTTATGAATTCTTACAAAATTACCAAAAGTCTGAAATTGCATATCAAAGATATAGAACTAAGAAATGAAGCAAATTT